CTATCGCAACATTGTTTGGTATGCTTAAATGCAGAAAATGAAATATAGTTCTAAGAGGCGTAGGAATCAGGGCAAAATTGAACTAACTTCTAGACTACTAGTATTTGACTATAGAAAATGTTTTGCTTTGCTTTTCACTTTCAGAAATTCCACCCCCCTTTTCCTCCCACCCAACACACACACAAACTGAGACTGAGTAGCACAAGCCCCACCATAAACTTATTAGATTCATGTTTTTACAAGTCTTTGGTTGTAGGCATGCTCAGTTTTGTACTTTCTTCTTCTTGTTCGCTGGCTTATTGTTCGATAGCTTTATACACCTGATTGTTCGCTGGCTTGTTGTTAGCTTGCTTAATACAACTTATTTTTCGCAGACTTATTGTTCGCTAGCTTGAGTCTGATGACAGAAAGTTCTTATAAGAACATCATTTTAATGCATTATAAGCTTATATATCACCATGCAGGAATAAACTGTATTATTGCGTTTTATTGTAATAAATATGTCTTAATTGGTATGCCTTATTTACAAAGAAATTTAAATTATATAAATAAAACGCCTACATTTATTAGAGAGAACGCTTCTTAAAACAAAATCATTTTAATGTTTTAAAATTTGATAAATGGATATGAATAAACTGTCTTCCTGCACTATGATGCATTTCAGAGACCTTTTTTCAGACTTTTTATTTTCAGAAACCCCTCCCCCCACACCCCCATCCCCCAACACACAAAAACAAAGCCTTTTGTATAGTCAAATAGTCTAGAAGTTAGTTAAATATGCCCTGGCTCCTGCGTCCCTAAATTTTAGCACTATATTCCAATTTTTGAATTTAAGCATGTTAAACAATGTTCCGATAGACTTGTCTGATTTTTCAATATCGTTAAGAGTCAATAGATACCTATGCATGCTAATCTTTTGGGTTACTAAGTATATTGCTGACCCGTTGAATTTTACTGATTATCTCTTTATTATTAAAAAATAGTATAATATAAGGTTTCCTTCTCCCCTTATTAACATGAAACCACTCCCCTTTTTTATAAGTCCTTGATCCAACACTGATAAAATTAAGCGAACCAAGAATAGGTTTCTGTACGGAAGCCTGTTAGTGTCAGCGTGTAGTTTTATTTTAAAGTCATTATAACGACTTACCTAACTTGTTATATAGATATAAGAATATGTGGTATGAGTGCCAATGCGACAACTCTCCATCCAAGTCAAAATTTATAAAAGTAAACCGTTATAGGTCAAAGTACGGTCTTCAACACGGAGCCTTGTCTCACACCGAACAGCAAGCTATAAACTTAGTTTATCTAACTCGTTTTAACAACGTAGAAACTTGTTATCACGACTTAGCTAACTCGTTTAAACCATTTAGCTAACTCGTTTAAACGACTAAGCTAACTCGTTTAAACGACTAAGCTTAACTTACTCGTTATAACAACTTAGCTAACTTGTTATAATGATTTAAACGACTTAGCTAACTCGTTTAAACAACTTAGCTTATTCGTTTGAACAACTTAGATAACTCGCTTAAAGGACTTAGCTAACTCGTTAGAATGACTTAACTAACTCGTTATAACGACTTAGCTTATCTAACTCGTTTTAACAACTTACCTAACTTGTTACAACGACTTATCTAATTCGTTTAAGCAACTTAGCTAACTCGTTTAAACGACTTAGCTAACTCGTTTAAACAACTTTTCTAACTCGTTTAAACAACTTTTTTAACTCGTTAAAACCACTTCTCAGCTAACTCGTTATAACGACTTAGCTACTTTCTCAGTTCCAGGACTTAACTATACCCCTAATATCTTGGTCTTGATTTATTTTCGATTGTCTTCTTATTTATAGATTTCTAAATTTCGGCTGTAATAAGTGCACATTAATTAGGAGATAATTTGAATAATCCTTAAAAAATTAACGAACACGAGGCCAATGTACTCTTCCGTACCTAAATACATAGAAGATCGCAAGCAATTTCTAGATAATGTAGAAATTCATAAGGGTTTTCAAATTAAAAAACATTTACTGAAAAATCTAAATTGTTTAATTTGTCTTGATGAATTGTTCAAACGGAAGAGTTAAATCACAGAAGCCTATCTTTGGTTCGCTTAGTTTTATCAGTAGTGTATCAAGGACTTTTCAAATGAGGGAGTGGTTTCGTGTTAATAATTGAAAGAGGAAGGAGCCAAACCTTATATTATACTATATTTTAGGAATTAGGAGATAATCAGTAAAATTCAACGGGACAGCAAAATAATACAAAAGATTAGCATGCATAGGCATCTATTAACTTTTTACGATATTGAAAAATAAAAGATAAGTTTATCGAAACATTGTTTGGTATGCTTCAATTCAGTAATTGGAATATAGTGCTGTGGATAAATGGGATTTTCAACAACGCCAATGCATCACTGGTGTTAAATTGATAATCGTAACTGGAATTACGACGATCCCAATATGGCGACGGCAGAAATAGGTAAAATCTTTTCAGTCATTTTTCTCAAATGTAGCCCGTTGTTATCAAGAGTAACTCAGCTGCAAGGTTTTTCTATACCATTATATCATATTTGAATCGTAACGGTGCACTATAATTGTCTAAGCGCTTAGAAAATTGCCGTTTAAAAATTCGGGATGATAATCGTAACTCGCAAAAATGATAATCGTAATTTCGGTATTAATAAATAAGAAGATAATCGTAACTGGATAGTGTTTGATTGGTATTGACACGAAACACGTCTATCTAATAGCATATGATGAAAATATGGTGATGAATTAATCACGAAAACGTTTCTTTTTGTTCATATATGATTAACAGTTCTAATGTAAACAGCTACATACTAAAATATATCATAAAATTGGAAGGGGGACCAGCTTCAATAAATTTGTAAATGGGGAAACACGAACTATGTTAAAATACTGAAAACTCCAGGAACTAGGACCGTCACAAAATATGGGAGAAAATTTTAAAAAATGTCATCATGATCTCTTCATGTTTAGAGTTAAAAAGAAATATTATTTGGTATTCTATTTAAATACGGACTTGAAAACAAATGTCACACCTTTTTGAATGTGTGAAAAGTTGTATAGCCCATAAAAATACTATAAAAATGCTTAGCTACTTCATGACCGTCACTGACATTTCGATATCTCAGAAAATAACTATAAATTTTAACAACACCAATTTAGTTTGGCATTCTAATAATATGACATCCTTAAAACGTTGAATGATAATATAAGAGTAGAGAAAAGTTGGAATGCTTTGTGTGTTATGGAGTTAAGCACATGGTGACGTGGAGTTCATTGGCAAACATTGATTTGTGTTCTTTAATAGTTTGGCCAAAAGCCCGAAGATCAGGAAATCAAATTGGTGTGGCCTTAACTTACCTTACAAGCTATATTTATTCAAAGAATGACTGCAACTTTAAGAAATCATAGCGCATATTACGCAATATCAGATTCAAGAAATCATAAATACTTGGTGTATGAAAAATATGCTGCATACATATGCATGGAAGTTATTGTAGAGGTAACAAAGAACATTTTTGTACTTGCATAATTACCACATACTAAGTACTTTTCTATCAAATGAAAACAAAAATTTGCTTTTCATAATTGTCATGCAATTTTCTGAAGCACAAAATATTTGTTTGATTATCTATTAAAGTCTTTGTAATTAAACCAGTTTCGACTGAGGACCAATACACATATATATATATAATATATATTTGTGTTTTTTTCAGTCCTTCAAATGCTTCGCAAGACTTTATGCGCCATTTAGTTAAGGCTAATAAAAACAATACACACAAGTAACAATAAAAACAAGTAACAATAAACACAAGTAACGTTTTCACTGAACTAGCACACAATTTTATTTAGGGGCCAGCTGAGGACCAGCTCCGGGTGCGGGATTTTCTCGCTGTGTTGAAGACCCATTGGTCGCCTTCGGCTGTTGTCTGCTCTTTGGTCGGGTTGTTGTCACTTTGACATATTCCCTATTTCCATTCTCAATTTTAATTTTGAAAAAAATTAAAAAAAAACATGGCCGAAAAAAACTCCACCGACCTAACCATCCTGTTCTGAAGTTACCTTCATCCTGAGTTAGAAATGGTAGGTCTTTCATTTCTGGGTGTCTGGTGTTTCGAGAAATCTCTAGATAACTTTTGGTTAGAATGATAGCAAATTACGGAGTTAGTTCCCTTTAACTGTTAATTTCTAGTGCATTTCAACCAAATTGTATCTTGAATTACGAATCGAATGTTATATTCGTGCACCATTATACATTTTGAACATAAATTAATGTCAACTTGAGAGGATTTTTGTTTGTCATGTTTTCACCACTGCCTGATTGTTAGGCAGATTGGCACTTAAATGTATCTATGGATTTTGTTTGGGTTTCTTCCAATGACAAATATATAGCCATATACAGTTCAAGCCGAGACAGACCAGTGGCATACATTTCTGGAATATTTATTTGGGACACGGCGAAAGAAAACAGTAATTCTCTGTCAACACATAAATGGGGCACGATAGAAACGAGTGTCTCCTTCTGGTCGAATAAGAGAAAAAGTTTGTGGTTAAATTAACTCAAATTGGGAATCGAACGGGATTTCATCTCTTTATTCTTTAATTTTTTAAAACATATTTCTCTATTCTTTATCCCCCCTTCTTTATTCTGCACTTTCCTACCATTATTCTCTATTCCGTAAAACCCCATCCAGACCAAACATTTTTTTAAGGGAGATTTCGTCCGAGGCCGAATCCCTAGTTTCGATAGTGGTAAATGCTTTTTCTGAACAATTAATCGTAATTTTGTGGTATTTCAATAACACTCGGCATTGATGAAAGGGAAAACAGTTATAAATACTAAATAAACTGTTCGTTACTTATATTTGCTACGTCACTTCTTGTGACAAAAAAAAAAAATACAAATTAAAGAATATAACTGCTCAAAGGGAGACAATCTCAGCCAATCTAATGAACTTTTTTGAGAGAACCTTCCTTCACGAAATGGCGACTTTGACAAGTACCGATTATTCTAATGATTTCGACGTTAATTGGTATTTTGACACATATTATTCTGCAGTTGCTGGGGGTCATGAAGAAGGAGACTTCTTGACCTTTATATTATTGGCACTGCATGATATTTTTGATGCAGGTAAGTTTAAATCTGTAGTGTGTACTATATTTCTTATTGACTAATTTTTATCACCAAATCACTTTTAAGTCGTACCAGATAATGCAACAGTATAGGACGTCTCTGAAAAGGACTGAGCATATTGTGTGGTCATGGCGCTCTGACTTTAATAGTCAATCTGCAATCTGGACGTCAACTTCCTTGAACAGTATTTTTCTATTTTTTTAGGGTACTTAGGGGTTCTTCCTAGTTCGAACCCCTGGCTACGAGTGTGGTAAATGACATTTCTTTACGTTAAAGCTTAATTTTGTGGTATTTCAATCACACTCGCCATTGGTAAAAGAAAAGAAAATTTTCTTAAGTGACTTATATTTGTGTATAAAGTGCATCACTCATCTTTGTGATGATCTTATGTTTCAGGGTTAGGTAATATAAGTTATATATATAGCACGCCTTTTACGAATTAACGTATTTAAATTTAAATATGTTAATGAGTAAAGCGTGGCTATATATGATTTGTAACATTAATGGGCGATGACACATGTCAGGGGTTAAACTTAACTGTACTTTTCATGAATTAGATATGTAAATCAAATAATGGCGCTTTCTATGACCAAATGTCTTTAAGTTTTAGAAAATGAAGTCATGAATTGGACTGTTTAGAAGGATTTGATTAAATGATACATGTACATGCAAATAAATTGTTGCCGCGATACTTTCATGATGGTTTAAAGACCAGAGAGCGATTTATGCGTTATTGAAGTGCCCCCTCCCCGTGCGAAAATTCTTGAGGGGAAAGATGTAAGATATTGTTAGATGTAAACCATGCTGCCTGCTTTCAAAACCAATAGGTCGAGTAGTTTTGAAAGAGGCAAACGAAGGAAACTTTTTAAAACTTATTTTGAAATTCTTAGTCTTATATAATGTTGTATCAGTTAAGCAACTACACCACGATTTTCAACGGATAAAAAGTGGAGGGTCAGAAAAGTAAAAGATTAATACAACTGTAAAAAATATTGATGCAATATTATTTAGTATTTTTTTTTCATGTTCTCATTTTTTTTTTATCAAAAGCAGAGTTCCATGATCTAATTTTTTTGTTTCATTGACTTCGAGATGTTTTGAGTTCCACTTTAGAGCATGATTCTTATTAGAAATTATATCACATTGTCTCCCCATGGACTCGAACCCGGGTCCTCTGTATTAAAAAGTCAGCGCTATAACCAACTGAGCTAAAGAAGTACTTTCCTAGCTCAACTGCTTACAGATGGTTAAGTATCTTTTACTTAGTGAAAATAATCCCGTCGCAGTTCCAAGATACTTCGTGACTTAAAATAAATCAAAGAAGCATCATAGGGAAAATGTGAAATGATTTCAGTGTACTGAATGAAGGTCTAGACGGTGGTTTGGGGAATATAGCAGACTCTCACAAGTGGTAATTAAAACCTATTTGTTATGCTACGTTGATTCCAATGACGTTATAGCCTGAATTCAGATATCTGTAACTAAGCGGTCTTTAATCATTGAACCATAAGGATGCCTTGTTGTGGCCTACTTTTTACGCTTCGTTGACGTCGTTGAAGTTTTACATCCGGATCTAGGTCTTAAGTACTACATGGCCTTCAATAATATATCTTTGTGTATCTCGGATATAATAGTAGGTCACATGAGACACATTGTACGCTTCATTAATCACATTTCGGTACCTTTCTCTGTAAAATTCAATTTCAGAATGGTAACAGTTTAATTTGAATTATACTGTCAACAAGACGGACGTTTTATCAGTAGATAATGCATGAGGGTCTGGATAAGGGGGGGGGGGGAGGGGTTGTCTTTCATTTCTTTATCCTAAATTATTTTTAGATCATTTTTTCTATTCTTTATAATTTTTGACTGTTATCCTCACAAAAAAAATGTTGGACCGCACAACAGACCATAGCTTCCTCCGCGATTTCTCTGGAAAAAATAAGTAGATAACATATAGTTTTAAATTTCGATCTGCTTCTAGCACTGGGTCGATAACACTGCTAACAGACTGTTAGTTCCAGAGGGTATCATCAGTTCAGTAGTCTGTGCCGGGTCGGGAATATGACAGTTGTGTTCCGTTCGTTTGGTGTGTTTGGGCCTTTCCCCGTTTTATGGGGGACTTTCCGTTTGGAATTTCCCTTGGAGTTCGATATTTTTGTTTTTGTTATTTTACGTTTTTTTAGGAACTGACACGGTTTTTAACAAACATTCTAAATTCTCCGTTGAAAATTTCAGAAATGTTTATGAAAATTCTTCCAACTCCCTCAGGCAAAGTTGACTTTAACCGAATTTTTCAATTTTTTAAACCCCTGCTGTGTTTAGAGATAAAGAAGCTGTAAAATGCGCCGTAGCGGAGGGAGCATTAAGTTTTACCCTTGTCCGTCTGTAAGTCCGTCCATCCGTACGTCCCGAATTTGGATTATGTTCTCTAACTTCTAACTTTGCCTAAACCAAATGTTATGAAACTTATACACAATGCTTATAACCACAAAACACAGATCAAGTTTGAATTTTGGTGGCGTCACTTTTACCGTTCTAGAGTTATGCCCCTTTACAAATGGAAAATTGCTGAAATATTCGTTTCTGTTCTCTCACTTTAGTTTGCTTCAACCAACTGTTATGAAACTTATAAACAATGCTTATTACCACAAAACACAGATCAAGTACAAATTTGAATAGCGTCACTTTTATAGTTCTTGAGTTATGTCCCTTTATAACGTTATATTCAAGCGGGGGCATCATCTGTGTCCCATGGACACATTCCCCATTTATTTATTAAGGATTAATTATCGTACGTTAGAATAACCAAAATTTTCACCACAACCCGTCTTAAAAAAATTATTCACAATGCCTTTCTCCATAAAATTGTACCATACGCTAAATATTTTATGTGTATTTGTTAAAAATGATCAATATGCTGGATTTTATAATTGACAACAGATTTGTTGAATTTGGAAGTATATTTTCCAGCAGGTGGTCGGCATTCTTATGGGAACCATATGTGTTACTCACTTGTCTAAACTTTTCTTTTTTTCATATGAGTCGGAGTTCCTTCAGACACTTGAAAAAAAAAAAAAAAAAAAAAATTCAAAGAAGCAAAATCATTTGATTTCACATACATGTATATTGATTATTTTATTTCCATTAAACATCCAAACTTTTCTGATTAGGTCCCATTGATATATCCGCAATAAGTCCAGATAAGGAGAACCACATATACAGCTTCCACCGCCTTTTTTTTTTAGACATATACCTCGAATTTGACTACAGCAGTCATCTCAGTATAAACGAGATGACATCAATTTTGAAATTATAATTTCCTCACCTTAGTAGCAATATACCAACTTCACCTGCGTATGGAGTATACATTTCTCAACCCATACAATATTCAAGAGCTTGCAGCTGCTACTCCGACTTTGTAGAACTTCATCGGTGTCTGAGCAAAATTTGATAAGCGAGGGTTTCGTCAACGAGCGTCTCGTCCTTTTTCATAAAATTTCATCGGAAAGTACCAAGACCTAATAGATAAATATTCAGCGCTACTTTACAAATACTGTAATACAAGATGGTCTCAAGTTATAGGTTGTAAAAGAGGGACGAAAGATACCAGAGGGACAGTCAAACTCATAGATAGAAAACAAACTGACAACGCCATGGCCAAAAATAAAAAGTCAAACAGAAAAATAATAGTACAGATGACACAACATAGAAAACTAAAGAATAGACAACACGAACCCCACCAAAAACTGGGGGTGATCTCAGGTTGTAAGTGCTGAAGTTATGTGTATCTTTTTATTTACGTAACAGTTTTCCCTTGGTTTGCCTTTGTGCTATTATGCTCCTTTTGGTCGTACGACTCTTTGACGTGACTCCATATTTCAGCATCCTGCTATCGGGGGTTTTGTTTTTGGGCGTTCCTGGTGCAGGTGGGTCCAGATGTGCAATTAGGACACAAAATGTTTTTACAGTTTTGTTTTAATTTTGTTTACCCTTGTCTTTATATTTGACTAAATTTGTACATTATCGACAAAGTGTATACTATACACTGTATCTACTATCAACTACAAAATCCTTTTTTGGAGGTGTCTTTATAAAAATAAGGAGATGTGGTATGATTGCCAAAAGAGACAACTATCCACCAAAGTTCAAAAGAAGTGGATGTACATAGAAGGGTGCAAAACAATTATTTGTCAAATTCACTATCAACTGAAAAAGCTATTTTGTTGGCGTCTTTGTTCGATTTATTTGTATGTTTGTTTGAATTTTTTAGTCAGTTGTGTTGTAGCTATGTTGTGCTGTATCTTTATAAATTTTGGCTGCTGCATGGATCCGAATTATTGTCACATTAACCTATTATGTCTGTTTGGGTTGCACATCCAATTTTGTCAATATAACGGAACTATATATAACTGTCATACAAGTAAGAGGTTTAGTGATCATAAGACCAGGTTTAACCACCATTTCCTTCGGAAAATGTCTGTTTCAAGTCGGGATTATGAAATTTGTTTTCCATTCGTTCAGTTGTTTGATAAAGTCTAACGTTTGATTTTGTCAGTTTTTTTGGAATCCCCCCTTTTTGAATTTACCTTGGAGCTCGGTATTTTTGTTATACTTTTTTGGTAGAATAGCTCCTCGCGTGTTTAGGTCCAATACATCCTTTGCTTTCATATGTTTCGGTTTGAGCGTTCCTGATGAGGGTATATACCTAAAAGCGCTTCGGACGCATAAGATTGTCATTTCATCTAATTTTTATATTATAAATATTTCATAAAACGTTCTCTTTACAGGCAATGTCCATGGAAACAGTTTATTGGATATAGATACTGGTCCAACAATTCACACCGTCATTAGTGCATGTCCATACGTACAAAATATAGTACTATCGGATTATTCAAAAGTTAATAGAGAAGCCTTGGAGCATTGGAAAGATGACAAATTACAGACCGGGAGTGCATTATGTAAATTTGTACTAGGCCTTGAAGGTGGAATGATTCAGTAAGTTCGAGCTAATAGTTAATTCGCCGTTTCAGAATCTACTGCATCCTGGGTAATGTTTTTACCAAAGCATACGCCAAAACGTTGTGATTGGTTAAAAACTTACTAAACAATGGACATCCAACCAACGCCGTAACGTTATTTTCATTTTGGGGTACGACCAATAAAATTACCCATTGTCCTTTAGATTCTGAAAGGGCCAATTGAGAGCATGTATGTTTCATAAGAATGCGTACTGAAATCAATCGCGAGGCACTCCAAAATCAAATTGTTTTTCTAAATTATATACATCATTCATGACTGCACGTACTTCCCACGACAATTTCACTCCGATGCATAGGAAAGCAAACAAAAATCTTGATATAACTCGTAATTTCATATGATTGAAATTAACAGAATTGAATGCTTCTTTTTGTAATTTTACAGGGGTGTCAAAGCGTTGATTATTTTTAATATGAAACGCGTAACAAAATGTGCTTCGGTCAATGCTTTTGTATCCCAATAAAATTGTAAACTCTTGTTCGATTGAAGCTATATTTTGTTTTTCATATTTCAGATATAAGAATTCGCTCTTAAAATGATCTTTGTACAAGACAGTCCCTGAACGATTTGAAGAGATTCGCCAGAAAATCAAAGTGATAATTTCGGTTGATGTGAACAAATGGCCTCCAATACAGTTTGAAGACGATTGCCCTGATATAATTGTCTCAAGTCTTTGTTTTGAAGCAGCATGCCTAGAGGTTCCAGACTACAAGAAAATAGTTCAGAATGTTGGTCGTCTTATGACCCCAGGCTGACATCTCGTTGTAGTCGGGGTATTAGATCAGACATTTTACAGAGTTGGTAATTTCAGGTTTTCTTGTTTAAAAATAACCGAGTCTAATTAAAAAACAGCTGATGCAACAAATGGATTTGAAATAAAATCTTGGAAAGAATATATTCCTCCGCCAAGAAATGCAGAGGAAGCCGAATTTGCGGATTTCCAGAAAGCGTTTGTAATGCATGCTGTTAAAGTATAATAATTCGATCAAAAGAGGAACTTGATTGACATGCGTAACTTCTAGCTTCAATGCTACAACAATTAAGTTGGCACTTAATAAGTAAACACTATCTATGTATTCTCGCTTTAATAAGGCAAGAATTTAGTTCACACCTAATTAGTTAACCCTATGAATTATAGCTTCAATACTACAACAATTTAGTTCACACCATATTAGTTAACACTATGACTTATAGCTTCAATACTACAACAATTTAGTTCACTCCTAATTAGTTAACACTATGAATTATAGCTTCAATACTACAACAATTTAGTTCACACCATATTAGTTAACACTATGACTTATAGCTTCAATATTACAACAATTTTGTTCACACCTAATTAGTTAACACTATGAATTATAGCTTCAATACTACAACAATTTATTACACACCAAATCAGATAACACTAGCTAAAGAAGACTTTTTTGTTAAATAAACTGAATGTGACTTTTTTCCTTTGTAATACTGGTTATTTCAAGCATTCCTGTCAAGTTTTGTCATAATCAGTTCAATAGTTTGAGAAAAATCTAGTATAATGTAAGACTACAGTGTTTCTAGCAAAATTTCTTCGAAAAATCCAAACCAAGCCGCATCATGATAAAATATAGTGTGGACCAATAAATGATCAAATATTCATCTCATCTGCCTACAAACAGTTGAATATGATACAAAAGATGACTTTAAGATGATAAATACTACTAATGGACCTCTTTGTCTTCCTTATAAGGTCTCTTTTGACCCATTTATACCTCTCATTTCCTCAAAATTTCTACTTTTTAGGCCAATAAATAAAATTTTTGGGGTAACTTTCACTCATTTATGATAGAAATGTTATAATGAATGATTAATTGAAGTATTCAAGCTGAATGAACTATCCGTATAAAAGTTTACTGTCTCCAAGGAGGTTTCAATAAGTCCTTACGTAAAACTTAAATTTACGCCGTGTTCCAGAGAGGGACATAAAAAGCTTCTGTTTTGGTGAATAATTTGTTGTTACTGCTTTAAAAATAATTTCATTTACTTAAAATTATATAGTTTTTAAAGTTTTTCTTAGGAAAAATTTTCTAGTATAGCAGAATATAAGAAATAAGGAGAAAAAGCTCCCCAAAACTCTAAGTATGGCTTGTTCTGTCAACTTATATTCAGGGTAAAGTCCTATGTCAAGGAAATTGTCTCATAAAATGTGTTAGAAGACTCAATCCACTCAGAATATTTCATTATTTGTAATATTTCACTTAAATAGCAAGAAATTTTAACAGATGAAAGTACCCACAAGGTCAAAGGTGCATGTACAGCTTCCCATATTAGGCGTAATACCACCATTGATTTCCCCTATTAGTCTTTGTTAAATTTGCACTTTTCAAAAAATTGTGCAGAATTTATCTTTGTTTCAAATAAAGAAATACTTGGCATGAGTAAAGTTTTATCCTGTCCAGTACTATAGAAAAAATTTCACATAACATTTCATTATATATAAGAAAATAACCATCACTGGAAGTTAATTTTCACCCTTTTTTAACCTGTGTACAAGCTTTAGTAACCATGTAACCTCAAGTTTCCAAAATATTCTATAAAAACCCCAAATAAAAAAATAATGGTGCTTTGAAATACCCAAGATATATGTTTATGACCCAGAAATGTTTTACTGCAATGAAATGTAGGGTCAATTACCTACAACTGTCAAATTCAAGGGAATATTTTTTTTCGACCTATTTTCGTATGCAACCGGATGTGACGTACTATGATTTAGTGGTATTACACCTCCAAGACAGTACCAAAGATGAAGAACTGGATCTTCCATCACTGTATTGGATACCTAAACTACATAAGTGTCCTTACAAGCAACGGTATATTGCAAGGTCTTCCAAGTGCTATAGGAAACCTCTTTCTAAGTTATTAACATCTATTTTATCAGCAATCAAAGCCGGGCTCCAAAGTTATTGTGAAACTGCCTATTCTAGAAGTGGCGTGAATCAGATGTGGATACTAAAAAATTCCAAAGATCTTTTAGAGTGCATACAATCTAAGACTCTCTCATCTTGCAATAGTATTAAAACATTTGACTTTTCTACACTTTACACAAGTATTCACTATTCCAAACTAAAAGACAAATTAAAAGAGTTGTTATTGCATTGTTTCATTAAAAAGAATGGCAAACGTAGATACAAGTATCTTGTCTTGGGGAGGGATAAATCCTACTTTGTAAAGAATCACTCTGATTCAAACAAAAAATTCTCTGAAACTGACATTATCAAGATGCTTGATTTCTTGATTGACAACTTATTTGTTAGGTTTGGAGGACGTGTTTTTCAACAGACTGTCGGAATTCCAATGGAAACCAATTGTGCCCCTCTTCTTGCCGACTTGTTTCTTTATTATTATGAGTCTGACTTCATACAGGAACTTCTTAGGAAGAAAGATAAGAAGTTAGCAATATCCTTTAACTTTACGTTTCTCTATATAGATGATGTTCTCTCACTAAATAATACAACATTTGGTGACTATGTTGAACGAATCTATCCCATCGAACTAGAGATAACGGATACTACAGGTACAGTTAAGTCTGCCTCATATCTTGACTTACATCTAGAAATTGACAATGAGGGTCGGTTGAAAACAAAACTTTACGACAAAAGAGATGATTTCAGCTTCCCAATTGTGAACTATCCATTTCTATGTAGCAACATTACAGAAGCGCCTGCATACGGAGTATATATCTCCCAATTGATACGACATTCCAGGGCTTGTATTTCCTATCATGATTTCCTTCATAGAGGATTGCTGCTCACAAGGAAGCTATTAAACCAAGAGTTCCAAATGGTGAAGTTGAAATCATCCCTTCGTAAATTTTACGGACGCCATCACGAGTTGGTTGACCATTATGGAATAACCGTTTCACAGATGATATCGGATATGTTCCTTTTGTCGTAACTACAATACCCTTCCCTGATCACGAATGTTACCTACCGAATTAAACTATTTACCGGATTTGTAATAACATAAGCAACACGACGGGTGTCACATGTTGAGCTTGATCTGCTTACCCTTCCGGAGCACCTGAGATCACCCCCAGTTTTCTTATGGGGTTTGTGTTGCTTAGTCTTTAGTTTTCTATGTTGTGTCATCTGTACTATTATTTGTCTGTTTGTCTTTTTTTTTTTGGCCATGGCGTTGTCAGTTTGTTTTCGATCTATGAGTTTGACTGTCCCTCTGGTATTTTTCGTCCTTCCTTTGCCTTCTAGATTATATGATATATTTGTGTAATCATATCCCTGCCCCTTTGTTCACAATATCACATATAGCTCTTCAAGTCTTCTGGCTACATAACATGCTTGGCGTTCAAAATTCCGGATTTTAGAGTTTCTGATGAGATTAATTTAGAAAAGCGCGACATCAGACGCACAAAATTTATAAGGTGTTATTTTCCGTAACCGAATACTTATAGTTCGGGTATCATGTGTGAAAACTCATCAAAGATACCAGGCTCTTATGATTTCGTACGTCAGACGTGTTTTTCGTCTACAAGAGACTCATTAGTGGAGATTTCCTGATATAAACAAACACTTACTTTCTTTATGAGGGTTAAGATGGGGGTTTCATTATTTTTAAAACATTTTAGGCCATTTTTCTCTATTCTTTATACTTTTGCCAATTATTTTCTATTATTTACATTTTAACACCTCATTTTTCTCTATTCTTTATTTTTTGGTCCATTTTTCTCTACTCTTTATATTTTTTGCCAATTATTCTCTATTCTGTAAACCCCATACACACCCTCCTTTATAGGTAAGCATGTGCGAATTTGTTTTATTTTAGAGCTAATTTCCTAATGCTTGTAGATTATGACTTTGGTTGGCTTGCTTGCTTTGTTTGTATTAACGTTTGCTCAAGCATTGTAATTAAGATTGACATCTGCAAACAATAAAAATAGGCGGAGTTGAACCTGTATACATTATACTTAAATTTGATTGGATGCTATCCTGGAGGCAGGGAACAACCAATTGTGCATGTATACATTACAAGACAATGTGAGTACATGTTTAATTCCGTCCAATCTATATTGTTTGCAGATGTCAATCTTAATTATAATGCTTGAGAAAACGTTTATACAAACAAAGCAAGCAAGCCAAACAAAGTCTTAATCTACAAGCATTAGAAAATTAGCTCTAATGTTTTCTTAAAGGAAACTTATGTTTTTGAATTTCACATGGCATAACATACATTGACATAATAAGAATCACTGATATCATGCAGCTTATTTTATTGAGTTTTGAATGCAATATGACGGTTTTTTCTAGTCTTATTTCCAGTTGCTGCATAAGTCTATGATCTGTAATAAAACAGGAATAACAAATCAGATATGAATACAAATGAAATATAGTAGAGATAGAAGTGTTGACAATTGAACTTATTCAATATTACCGACTTTTGACTCCGGATTACATGGTAGGACATCATGGTGCTTGGTCAAGTAAGAGCAACCAAAAGAAATAAAATCAAACATAACAAATCAGATATGAATACAAATTAAATAAAGTAGAGATAGAAGTGATAATTGACTATTTTCATATTTCCGACTTATGACTTCGATTGGAATTTTATTAAGGTTCTTGATAGATCTTGATACTGTGTGACGGTTTTGTAAACTGTCAATTGTCTCTCCATCTTCTTTGTTGTAATGGTCATTTGTATGTTTTGTTTTTACTTTTTACCTTTGTTTTCGATTACCACCATAGTATTTTCTAACTTTTGCTTTTATCATTCAATTAATTCGGTGCCATGAGTAGTCATATGCACTTACAAAAGTGTTTTATAAATGGCTCTGAACCCTTGTCTAACATCCGAAAAATCAGAATTGAAGTGAACAGCCATTCTATTAGTAGTAGTGGTCAACACTTGTCCTTCATATGGTCCACCATATAACTCTTTCAGAAATGCGTCTCCATCATATACCTATACAAAAATATAGTTTTATTAAAATACTATGTTGTTTTTGTATACTTTTATATCGACACTGCTGGAAATATTATGAAGATAGTGGGCATAAGAATTGATGTCATTGTTAAAGAATATGACGCTTACAATCGACAACGTACAGAAGCACTACAGACCAATTTTTTTCTATTTAATCTTGTTATATGGTTACATATATTCTTATCGTATTAATAAACACTATAGTTGAAATATACTTTTAAATAAGTTTTAATAGAACAAATTTAGTTTAATGTCGATAACAATATATCCCATTGATATTTCCTCGTTATTAAATTACACGAAGATTAAAAATGAGGTTTTTTCTTGATTTTCAATCATTCGAAAGTTTGACACATTTTATGATAACACTATTTATATTGTCCGGTTTGAAAATTTGGAAATTTCAATATAACTATGATTATAACAACGAAAGAACCAGTTTATGAAAAACGTATATAATTTCGAAACTAGTTTAATGATAAAAAATAATTGTACCATAACACCATCAAATCCGCCTTCTGTGAAAAAGGTTGTGAAGTTCACCATTATTTTAAAACCTTCCATGGCCGTAATGTAGTAAGTACACATGTGACCATTGCAATAATTTGATGGATAATTCGGTGAGGTAAAACTTCCAATCGGTTCAGTAAATCTTCCAACACAGGTATCTATCATATAAAATAATTCAGTTTGTTTTCAACAGTAGATTTCTCGTGGTCGATGAAAAAGGTTTGGAAATGAAAATAACACTTTATAAATTTTGTTCGTCCGAATCGCTTTTCTTGATTTACATTCATAAGGAACGTTCCAATCCAAATATTTTAAAACCAAGGATGTAATCTGTTTTCAAAAGACAGTCCTTCGTGCATCTATCATTATAAGATTCTTATTATCGAAATGTATTTCCCCTTTTTTCCTCAAGTTTATTGCCGTTTATCATTATTCTCTTTTATATATAACTAAGCACTCCATTACTCTCCCATTCTTTATTTGTTTGCCCTATTTTTCTCTATTATATTCTATATTTTTGGTCTATTTTTCATACAAGTGAGAGGTTTAGCTAGCTATAAAACCTGGTTTAATCCACCATTTTCTACATAAGGAAATGCCTGTAGCAAGTCATGATCAGGAATATGACAGTTGTTTTCCACTCGTTAAATGTGTTTGAGGTTTTGATTTGCCATTTGATAAGGAACTTTCCATTTTGAATTTTCCTTGGAGTTCTGTATTTTTGTTATTTTACTTTTTACAATCATTGAATATTTTAAAGATATCTGAATTGACTTCCTTTACCATTTGGATAGAAGAATTTAATTTGTAAAGTTTTTTTAAGGAGGTACACAACACTACAGGGAGATAACTATTTAAAAATCAGCTGAACGTTTTAATCACGTTCTATTGTTAAGGAAATATTAAGCTTCTCAATGATCAAAATTAGTGTTCGTCAAACTGCTATATCTCCAATGAAATATTTCCGATAAAGTGTGTGGTTCAAGTTTTTTGAAATTTTTATATTTTTGTCAAAGGGTCACGGTAAATATTTTGTTAAAATTTTATGAAAATTAAACGAGCCAAATTAATCTAAGTCAAGGTGTTTGGTACCACCTTAATAAAATGAAATATTCAAAAGTTATGAGTGATATTTCAAGATTTTTTTTAAAATTTAATGTTTTTTTGAGAGGTGCTATTTTCATAATAAGAACTTACTTAAACAGAGCTTACAACATTTGCCACTTCCACAACAAGCCAAAATGTCGGTATATTCCTGAGCATTGTCAATCTCTCTACCACCAATACATGTGTTCTTACAGGTGCAATTTACTATAAAAAAGACATAGAAAATCTTTGTAAAAACCGGTCTAATTAATAAAGTTGCAAAGAAATATTTAAATGGAAATGAACTTTGAAAGTTTGGTACGCTGTAAGATATTCTTTGCAATACTGTGATATTTCTCAGAAATTAAACTAGAGGCTCTAAAGATCCGTGTCACTCACCTGGATCTATGTGCATCTTTAAACATGGAATCTTTCCAACACTTAAGCATAATTCATGAATACAATCTCTGTTTTGTTGATCTTGTATTGCTTATAATGTTTTCTGTTTACAGTTTTTTCTATCTCCCGTTGTTTTTGCCCCCTCCCCCATTACAAGGTTTACAACACATTAAGACCTGACAACAGAATTCATTTTGATCAGCCGTTTCCGTTTCGTTGTTACATTTCGTCTTACATGTGCACCCATTATCATCTATAAAGGAAAATTTTCTATCTATGAAATGATAGGAGAGAGAGAGAGAGAGAGAGAGAGAGAGAGAGAGAGAGAGAGAGAGAACATAAAGAACGCAAAAAGAGGTTATATGGTACCTCAATAACTACGCAAACTTTCAAAATGTACTGGTTCAAAAACATTAAATCATGTACTTTACAGCCCTATTACTCACAAAACGTAGGTAAACCTTGATTCAACATTTCTGTGTTTTGCAAATACAAATTAAAGTTAAACACAATATTGGAAGCTAGGTTCGATAATTTTGAACAAGTCATGATAGGAAAAATCTTCAATAAATCAATGCAATAAGATTCTAAAAAACTATCTAAGTTATGAGGGTTTGGATGGGGCATTCTTTATGTCTTTATTTTTTGCCCTAATTTCCTTTTTTCCTTAAGTTAAGTTTTTTGCCCTTTATTATGCACTTTTTACTCATTATTTTCTATTCTGTAAACCCCATCAAGACAATCAATTATTACAACAAATAAAATATGAACTGTATAAAAGCCCAGCAGAAGTTTAATTTTTAATTATATGTCAGTAATATCAGACATCGGTGTATAATCCTTTGCAATCTTGTGATATTTCTGATAAATAAAACTAAAGGCTCTAGAGATCCTGTGTCGCTCACCTAGGTCTGTGTGCATCTTCAACCATGGACAATTTCCAACATTGTAGACTAGAAAAATATACATGAATACAATTCCTAGTTTGATCTTGTATTGTTGATAATTGTTTCTGTTTACAGTTTTTGTCAACTCCCATTGTTTTTGCCCCCCAAAAAAACACACACACACAAAAAGGTGTTCATTCTTATTTTCAAGGAAATTTTTATTTACACTAAAATTTATTGTCGTTCATCTTGTTGGTGAATATATCTCGCTCACAAATGTTTTTAAAAAAAACCGAGGAAAAAATTAAAAAAAAACAAAACATATTCTATGCCATATAAAGCTGTTAACTAACCAACACACGTTGGAGGAGGCTGACAACATTGGAAATTGCTACAACACGTGGAACCTGCACTTTGTTCATTCTCCTTGCATAATGCTCTGCATGAACCGTTTTCTTGTTTGCACTGAAGGGTATCTGCATAATCAATTATTAAAATAAATGTAAGAATTATAATGCAAATTAGGCGAAATGTATTTCACAATATTTTCTTAGACTTATTTAGCACAACAATGCTATTAAATACAATCTAGATCAAATATATTTAATTTGAAACTTTACCAGCAAAAGTTATTATGGGTCTTTTGAAAGGAACATGCAGTCTTTGACATCGGACATAACAAATTTAGACTTGTTCATCCATCTGACAAAGTTACCGGTCTTGACAAATCATGGTTATGACAGTCGCTACTTTGATGTCGACTGATACATACCTAACGAAATAATCCTACCCTGTCATGAGATATCACTCAGTTATAAATAAAATTGAGAATGGAAACGGGAAATGTGTCAAAGAGACAACAACCCGACCAAAAAGCAGAAAACAGCCCAAGGCCACCAATGGGTCTTCAACACAATGAAGTTTATGCTATGAAAATGTGTATACATATAACCTTGACATACAATTTAAAATTATATCAGAATACTCCATCACATTAGTCATAAAACAAAACGTACCATTACAAGGCTTACAACACTTTAAGTCGTGACAGCAGAATCCATCTTGATCAGCCCATTCCGTTTTGTCATTACATTCCGTCTTACATGTGCACTCATTATCATCTATAAAGGAAGATTTTCTATCTATGAAATGATGAGAGAGAGAGAGAGAGAGAGAGAGAGAGAGAGATAGAGAGAGAGAGAGAGAGAGAGAGAGAGAGAGAGAACATGATGAACGCAAAAAAGAGGATATATTGTACCTCAATAAACTCTCAAAATGTACTGGTTCTAATGCAACATTAAATCATGTTCTTTAAAGCCCTATTATTCACAAAACGAAAGCAAACCTTGATTTAACATTTCTGTGTTTTACAAATACAAATTAAAGTTAAACATAATATTGGAAGCTAGGTTAGATAAGTTTTAACGTACCTTTTGTCATTTGAACAAGTCATGATAGGAAAAATCTTCAATAAATCAATGCAATAAGATTCCAAAAACTATCTAAGTTATGAGGGTTTTGATGGGGGCATTCTTCATGTCTTTATTTTTTGCCCTAATTTCCTTTTTTCCTTACATTTTTTGCCCTTTAATATGCACATGTGGAGCAGGATCTGCTTACCCTTCCGGAGCACCTGAGATCACCCCCAGTTTTTGGTGTGGTTCGTGTTGCTTAGTCTTTAGTTTTCTATGTTGTGTCATCTGTACTATTATTTGTCTGTTTGTCTTTTTATATTTGGCCATAACGTTGTCAGTTTGTTTTCGATCTATGAGTTTGACTGTCCCTCTGGTATCTTTCGTCCCTCCGTTTTTTTACCCATTACTTTCAATTCTGTAAACCCCATCCAGACAATCAATTAGTACAAATAAAATATGTACTGTATAAATGCCCAGCAGAAGTTAAATTTCTGATTATGTGTCAGTAATATCAGACATCAGTGTAGAATCCTTTGCAATCCTGTGACATTTCTTGTAAATCAAACTAGAGACTTTGGAGATCCTTGTCGCTCATCTAGGTCACCTAAATCATGCTCCTTACATCCCTATTACTCACAAAATGTGGGTTGACATTGATTCACCATTCATGTGTACTGCAGATCTAAAAATATTTCGATAGAAAATGTCAACACATAAAGTTTTTCACTCCGAACATATTTGCACCTATTTTATACTAATATTCTACGAGGTCCTCATCCTCATTGTCAAGGAAATTGTCATTACAATAAAACTGATTGTCGTTCATCTTGTTCGTCGATATATCTGGCTTTCCATTAAAACCAAGAACCATATATTAATTAAAAAAATTAATAAATGTTACTTCATTTATAAAACCAATGATTTGTGTTATTGTTTTACTGCGAAAGTTGGAAATGAAAACACAACACGTTTTCTCAATGGATGACCAACAAGGGAACTAGCTCTGAACATTTTGTAAAAATAACCAAGACATTGATAACGACAATGTGACAGACAATAACACAGAATACATTACTTTAAAAGAAAGTATAAAGAAGGTGTCCAAAATGTGATCTCAAAGAGATATGTGACTTCCTACCTTCTTCTTTTTTGTTTTTCCGTTCCTTTTCTCCGCTTTCGTCATGTCTATCTTCCCTTACGTTCTTATTAAGTTCGTTTTTTCTTTTCCAGGAGACTGCTTCCTTTCTTTCTTTATGCTTGCCTTATAAATATTTTAAAAACACTTGTGTATAAAATAGATTGAACTCAGACAAACTGATATTTGTTTTTTTGTCATCTGACAAAGGCGTGTATACGATGATTATAAAATAAGAATAGGTGGTATGACTGTTAAAGTGACTATAATCCACCTCTACCCATAGGACAAAGATGTAAATACCGTTCGGACGCACCATTGAGCGACACCCAATCGTAATCGAAACCAATAGTCTTTTATTGAGTTGTCTAAACTTTGAGTATTATTAAAGTTATCATAAGAAACGCCAAGGCAAATAAAGTAAAACCAGAACTTAGAAGTTAACGTAACATTATATAAATAAGAAGATATGGTATGATTGCCAATAAGACAACTATACACCAGAGTTCAAATGACAATTTTGAAAGATAAGAGCAATTATAGGTCACCGTACGGCCTTCAACAATGATAAAAACCCATACCGTATAGTCAGCTATAAAAGGCCCCGACATGAAAAATACGAAACAATTCAACGAGAAAACTAACGGCCTAATTTACGAGTGCCACATGTGGAGCTGGATCTGCTTACCCTTCCGGAGCACGTGAGATCACCCCCGGTTTATGGTGGGGTTCGTGTTGCGCAGTCTTTAGTTTTCTAAGTAGTGTTTTGTATACTGTTGTTTTTCTTTTTTTGCCATGGCTTTGTCCGTTTATTTTTCGACTTATGAGTTTGAATTTCCCTTTGGTATCTTTTGCCTCTCTTTGACACAATTACATAGAAAATTTAAGACTTAGCAAAGACTTAACTCCAAGGTTGCTCTGTTTAAGGTAAGCAAATCATGCTCAACATTTGGCACCCGCATGCAAATAGCAAATAAAGAAACAAAGGGGAAGTCTTACCTTCTACTGGATGACATATCATCACTACAGAACAAACTATGAAAAATACTGCTACAAGTTTCATCTTTGCGTAACTACGTTCATCTCTAGCTATGTCAATGATCAGTGTTGTATCAACGACTTAATACAGGGTATACATATGACTGGTTTCTACGTCAATGTAAACCAACGTGGCATGCTGTATTATTTCAAGTTTGTTTTTTTGATCTGTTGTTTAAATGCACCATGATCTTATGTCAATCGATTCATCAGATGTTGCTTACAATCGTGAATTTAATAAAAAATTCCATGATAACTGTACTTATAGGTACATATAATACATGTAACAGATGACATGTTAGAATGCAATAAAGATAAATGTATTGTCAGTTTCTTGAACAATGTTACAAAACTGATAGTTTCAGATGAAAACAAAATCAAAATTGAATAGTTCAACGAAGTACAGGCAGAGTAATAACTAAATGTTGGACGGAAGAATTCAAATCACAATATAAAAAAACAAAAAATAAACAATATGAGTTCTTGTAGAAATCGACATGAAAATTACTGCTGTAGTAGTTAATCTCATCAATGAGAAGTCACAAACGGTGAATAGCACACTAAAATAGTGTATTGACATACATGTGTATTTATAACCACTTTATTAGAGACATTTTCAAATGTATATGTCTCTGGTACAAAAAAAGCTCTCTTGAATTGATACATGACCGAATTTAAAAGTTCAAACAAAACACAATTGAAATATTAAACACATTTAAACACCAAAACATCATAGATAGCAATGTATTGATGCACACAAACCACTTTCCAATTATGATGTGCATCAACATCTTATAAATTCTACATAAATGATTATAATGCCTTAAGGTATAAAACCACTAATGCATAGCCCCATTGCTTTCTATGTTAAATTCTGCAATTTCAAGCATTAATGGCTACTTTGTGTTAAGTTCAAATAAAGTAGCAGTTATTTCATATCAAAACTATACCTTATCCTGACTTGTGCTGAAATTTTCAACATACTTTTAATTGCATATTAGAGCGTACTGGTTCCCGGAAGTTTGATAGTACAAAAACAGGTACTTCTGATCTGAACAACAGGGAAAATGTGCCCTAGGCCTCCTATCAAAATTGTATATACTTCTTTATTATTCAAAAGAAACTTTCAACAAGGTTTCTACAGTGATTCCAAGTCCTCAAGCTTTCATTTGATACCAAAACTATTCAAATATTCCACCTATTGACAAAGATACAGCTATGCGTAGGAACTATTTTGTTTTAAATATGTACTACTTTCTTGTATGTTCTTTCCGACCGGGCTTGAATTAGTGGTTCTATACCTTAAATGAGCACAAAAGGATAGATCTCCCCTCACATGTAAACTAAGTTTTTAATCAATTCCCATTTACTCACAAATTTCTCTCTTGCTTTTAATGATCTGTAAAAGGAGGTAGATATATTTTCTAATTGTTAGATATTTTTAATCATATTTAAGCACCTGTACTCTGGCAATGAAGCATTAAAGCAACATGTATAAATGCAATACTTAACCAGAACAGTGAATAAATTAAGAAAAACATCCCACGACTCTGACCCAAGAACAATATTTATTGCATTTAATATTTAAGTCAAATTACATTTTTATGTTGAAAAATATGCTGCAATTTCTATCCATAAATTTCTAACTCGAGTACATACTAAATTTGTTGTTTTTAGTACAACAAAAGGGTAAACTGAAATCCCAATTTTCTATATGAGTGCTTAGTTCTTTACACATTTTTTCTTCTTGTTTTGTAGGACGTTCTGTATACCATGACAAGAATTTTTTATAAAAGAATTGACATGATTTTTTTTTATTGTTTTTAATAAATTCAAATTTTACATTAGATATACACGTTATTTTCTCTGAAGCAGTGATTAGATCTTTCCAAACTTTTGGTATCCTATGAAGTATAGAATGGTATTCCAGGAAATTAATATTAAGGTTATATTTTTTGCGGAATTCCTGAAGAGTCAAAAATTCACTGATCTCATATAGATAAAGAAAACTCCTGATTCACACCATCTCTGGTAAAAGATAGTTTTATTATTTATTGTCAAGTTATTGTTTAGCCATATGGATTGTTTCGTGATCCCTTCAGCAGTGTCATTAGTGACAGTATTAAGGATATTCCAGTTTATTAGTAAAATGTCTTTCCAAAAGCTATTTAAATTTGTAGAAATCTTTTAGATACCATCAGAGGTCATCAGCCATATTTTGTCTGTTCCAAATCTGTTGTGCTGATCTATTAGCAGTGTTTTCCATGGGGATATATTCAAGGGGTCTAAAAGTTTATTCATCCATGTCATCTTTAGTGAGAAACAAAAAGACTTTATATCTGACATTTTCAAGCCCCCTTTTTCATACAACCCTGTCATTACTTTACTTGTAAACTTGTCTGGTTTTCCTGACCACAGAACCCTAAAGAACACATTTTGAATTTGTTTTATATAACATAGATGGGTTTGCCAAAACTGTCAATGACTGAAGTGGGATATAGATTTAATAACAGTACTCATTCCCATATAAGTTAA